TCATTTGAGCCCAAGAATTCTGGGCCAGCCTAGGCAATATAGTGAGATCCTCTCTCTCTTTTGAGATAGGGTCTCAATATGTAGTTCAGGTGGGTTTTTTTTGTTTTTGCTTTTTGTTTTTTTTGAGACAGGGTCTCACTATGTAGTTGAGACTGACCTGGAACTCACTATATAACCCAGGCTGGTCTCAAACTCACAACGATCCTCCTGCCTCAGCCTTCCAAGTGCTGGGATTACAGGTGTGAGCCACCACGCCTGATTTCAGGTGGGTTTTGACCTTACTATTAGCCAGGCCTGCCTTGAATTTCAGTAATCTTCCTGCCTCTGCCTCCCAAGTGCTGGGATTACAGGCATGAGCGACCACAACTGGTATGAGAGCCTGCCTCTTAAAAAACAAAGAAATGGAAAAGAATATAGATTATTAGGATCAATAAAGAATTTAGAAGTTCGGGCTATAGCTCAGTAGTACACTGAGCATACTACCTAAGTATGAATGCATGAGGCTTTAGGTTTACTCTCCAGCACCAAATATGGACAAGCACAAGCTCATGAGAACACCCAAGTCCCTACACATTAGTAAGGCTCCGGGCTACAAAACCAATATATACTCAATGCAGTTAATCCTATAATTCCACTATCACCAACAAAAACCATCATTAAAAAAGAACAGCAAGAAAGATATAAAATGAGAACATTGGGCTGGGTGTGGTGGTACACACCTGTAATCCCAGCACTTGGGAAGCTGAAGTAGGAGAATCATTTTGAGTTCAGGCCAGCCTTAATTACAGAGTCCCTATCTCAAAAACAAAAACAAGGGCTGGGGATTTAGCTCAATGGTTCTGCTTCCTGCTTGGCAAGGGCAAGGTCCCAGTTCGATCCCCTGGTACGAAAAACAAACAAAAAAGGGTCAGAAATTTAACTCACTGGTGCCATGCCTGCCTCTCAAGTGCAAGGTCCTGAGTTTGATCCCTAGTGCCCCCTGAAAAAAACCAAATCAAAACAAAAACAAAAAAAACAAAAAAGGGAGAAAATTATTAATACTATACTGAAAAACATTTTAAAATTACATAGATATCTGCTGGGCATGGTGGCACATGCCTGTAATCCCAGCACTCGGGAGGCTGAGGCAGGAGTATCACTGTGAGTTCAAGACCAACCTGGGCTATATAGTGAGTCACAGTTCAGTCTCAACTACATAGTGAGACCCTGTCTCAAAAAAAAAAAAAAAAAAAATTACATAGATATCATGCTCACAGATTGGAAAACTCAGGCCTTAACTTTTTTGTTCTTGAGACAGTCTCCCTGCATAGTATAGGCTGGCCCTGAATTCACTGTGTAGTCCAGGTTGACCTCAAACTCACAGCAATTCTCCTGCCTCAGCTTCTTGTGTGCTGGGGCTACAGCATGCTCTGTTATGTTTATTGCAATCCTGTGCTAGTCCCAATATCACAATAATAAAAAAAAAAAAAAAAAAAAAAAAAAAAAAAAAAAAGCAAGCCCCAGGAGACTACGTGCGGTATGATTCTACTTGGATTAAGTTCAAAAATGAGACATTGTTTAGGGATATAGTCATGTGGGGTAAAACTCTAAAGCAAGTTCTTGAGGATTAGGTACTGGGCAGCCTGCCTGACCATGGTCAACAGGGCATGGAGAAAAGGGCACATGAAGGACATGAATGTATGGGAAGCTGGACAACAAAAAGTCTTGTGATAGCAGAACTCACTAGCTGGGGAAGGAAAAATGTTCTGAGGCTGGAAGCAATTCAAGGTAAGGGAAAGACTATTCCTCTCACCTGTAAGTAGTCCGATGGGTAAAAATAGTAAAACCCATACCTTCCTCCAGACCCAGACCACCTTGCAGATGCTGCCAAATTCTTAGCACAACCTCAAGCAATCTTTAGGCTTCCACGGGACTCAAGATGCAGAATTGTCAAAACACTAACACTTGAGCTTCAGGACCTTTAGCCTGCCAAACCCCTTTTCAGTTAGAGAAAAGCCCTAAGCACTTTATATTATTTCAAAAAAAAAAAAAAAGTAAGTAAGAAAGAAAGAAAGAAAAAGCCTCTAAAGGGTATAAATGTCAAAATTTATAATAAGCCCCTGGTCTAAACCCTTAAATTGCCAGGCATGGTGGCACACACCTGTAATACCAGCACTCAGGAGGCTGAGGTAGGAGGATTGCTGTGAGTTTGAGGACGTAGGCTCAACAGTGAGTTTAAGGCCAGGTTCAACCGCACAGTGAGACTCTGTCTCAAAAAAAACAAAAAAACAAAACCAAAAACCAAAAACCAAAAGCAAACAAACCAACCAAAAAACACCCTCAAAAGAATCTTTAGGTTATAAAATGTTTAAAACACCGCCTGGCGAGACTCTTGGTTAAATTCTCTGCTTCTATTGAATTTTCTTGCCTCAGAAAATTAGATTTCCCTTAGGAACTATCAAAGTTTGAAATCTAAACTCTTGAAAGCATGTGACTAATAAAGTCGCAGAAACCCATGGCTGTGCTCTTTATTTTTAAATTTTTTTGCTCTTTATTCTTATAAAGAGACTAAGGATACAATGACTCTTGCTGGATAACTAAATATAATGCAAGATTAATTTTCTTATAAGGTCCTTTGCTAAGAAGGTACAAACTAATTTTGGCAAGGATCCTTGCTAAATATTATAACTGGCTCAAGGATAACAGCACACAAGCACCTCTTGTGTTGTGACTACAACTTGCTTTCAAAACACTATGCAATACTGCTCCAATACCAGTAGCAGTGTCACACATTGGATGATTTCCACAAATGTTCCTAACCCCCAGGTGTTCTGCACCAAGATCTGGAAAAGCAGAAATGAACAGCCCATTGTGGCAGAGGAATTATAATGGTACTATTACCAACCCAGCATTTTGTAGACTAAAACCAGAACTCCTTGTGCTTTGTTGTCTATGTGAATGGCGGAGCTGGACCAGTGATATGAAAACAGGGAGAGGAATTTGCCACCAGATAGAATAGTTTCAGCAAGAACAAATCATCCAGAAAGGGGATTTGCTTAGCAGAGGTTGAGGAATTTGCAGAGTAGTCAGATCTCTTCCTTCCCTAAAAAGTACTCACAAGAAAATGTTATTTGGGCTGGGGAGATAGCTCAGTGGTAGAGTGCTTGCCTAGCATGCATGAAGCCCTGGGTGCAATCCCCAGCAATATCCCCCACCCCATACACACAGAGTTATTTTGAGGAAGCAAAAGGAACATGAAGAGAATTCCCATGAAATTCACGTGGTTCTTGAGAAATTTTTTATCAGTGAAACATTACCAGCTTGGACTGAAAGGGACAGAGTATATACAAAATGAAAGAATGTTCATCACCTCCCAGAATTCTACTGGCAAGAAGCAAGGTGATAAAACTACTTAGCCTACAAATAAGGTGCTACCTTTTACTGAAAAGGATGGATGACAGAAGTGTGGCTGTAAGCACACAGGGCAGAGCCATGATTCCAGAGTAAAAGCAAGAACGCAAAGACTTTTGATGAAACCAAGAGCTGAGAGCCATGGAAAGCTATTCCCAGGTCTTGAGTCCTAATAAAGAACTACTGTCTTGGAAATGGTAAGTGATTCAGATGGCAGAACCAAGAGTCCAGAAGGCAAAACCAAGAGCTCAGAGGGTAGAACCAAGAACCCAGAGGGCACAGCTGTGAGCCACAGGAAATAATTCCCAGGTTTGAACCTAATCAGGTAGTTGGAATTGGCCCAAACAGATTTCCTTTTTATATTCACTATTTTTTCTAATTTAATTTTAATTAAACATGTAATACATAATAGATACATTAAGTGTGGGGAATTGGTACATAGATATAGTGCATCTTGATCCTTTTTACTTCTTCACCTTCTCCCCTCCCACCATCCACCAGCTAGATTTCAAAGCTGCCTTAGGCTACTGATACGCTGCTGATACATCTTCATTTATTTTCTCCTCTTTCTGAACCTGAAGTCTGTAACTGTTATCTTATGCTAGTCCCACCTTGTATGTGAAAGCTGAGGGCAGGCAACTTGTCTTTTTAGTTTCACAGGTCCAAAGATAAGGAAAAGGCTTGAGTTTAGAACTGTAATCCCAGCACTTGGGAGGCTGAGGCAGGAGGATCTCTGAGTTTGAGACCAGCCTGGGCTACATAGTGAGTTCCAGGTCAGTCTCAACTACATAGTGAGACCCTGTCTCAAAAAACAAAACAAACAAACAAACAAAAAGAAGCTGTCCTTGATAATATTACACTGTTGAGCCTTGTCTATATGGGGTTTAGATAATCTCAATGATGAGATATGAGATATTTGAACCCACAAGATTTGGGATTTTGAACTGCTATTTTACGGTATGAGAACTTTTGGATTGTATTTTGCTTAAGGGAGGTGTGAACCATGGCAGCTAGGGGACAGACTGGTATGAAGGCAATTTCAAACAAGATTGCTAAAATGGAGAGGGCCCCAGGGGGAGGAACTATGAAAGGAGGACCTGAGGACAAAACAGAGGGATCTGGTGGGCAAACAACCTGGATGAACTAGGGAGCAGATTCTTCAAAAGGGTGTCCAGATAAGATCCTAGCCTAGCTGCTCCTTGATTTTGACCTCATGAGACCTGGATCCAACCAAGCCCCGTTGGACTTCAACACTCAGAACATGAGATAATAAGGAGGTATTTTTTAAGCTACTAAATTAGTAGTGATCTGTTATCCAAATTTTGTTTAGGCCTACAGATTCTATTTCTGGAAATGCTGCTCTATCCCATTCTGAGTCAGAGACAAGAGGACCAGGTGCAATTTTGGGACCGCCCTTGTGCTTGTGAAATTAGCACAAATTCCCTTATCTAAAAAGAGGGTGGATCAAAAGGAAACAGCTATAAGAAAACATTTCTATACCAACAAGTCTTTTCAAATAGCAGATGTATTATTAATCACAAAACCCATGCTAATATTAATAAATGAGGGGCCCAGATACAGTCAAGAACAGAAAAGTCACAGCTGTTTACCTTCCTCAGGCCAGGGCTGTAGATTGCTGGGATAAAGATATACTCCTTCTCCTCCTGCTGCTAGGAAAGTGCCCAGGAAACACTCATCCCCCTTAAAAACAACAACAGAGCAAAAAGCAAGTGATTCATAGCATAAATACAGAGATGAAAATCTTGTTCAATTTTGTCTGTCTAAAAAGTTGAGTCACCTAGGTATAGTGGGGCATGCTTATAATCCCAGCACGCTTGGAGGCTGAGGCAGGAGGATAGCAAGTTCAAGCCCAGCCTGGGCAACTTAGTGACTTAGTGGGGCCCTGGGTTCAATCCAGTACTCAAAAATTAATAAATAAATATAAACAAACAAATTAAAATAAAAAGCTGAGTCAGACTCAGATACAGTGAGTATATGTGGTTCTTTAGCATGTTACTAGCACCCCTGATTTGTACTGAGAAAAGAAATGTTAGGGTCCTATCTGACTCCACACATCACAGCCTATGATGTCTGTTTGTGGATTTATTTCTTATGTAAAAATGGAGTCAGCTTCATCTCAGCCTAAACCAGTGGTGGCGAACCTATGGCACGTGTGATACGGCGAGCATGCCGAGTTCTCTATGTTGGCGCACAAGCCAAGTTGTCCCAGCAGCTGAGCATTGGATAACAGTTGTTTTTACTAAACTAAAACCTTAGCATTCAGGTTTAATTGCAGCATGGGAACTTTGCCATAAATAAGTGGGTTTTGGGTTGCAATTTGGGCATTGGCTTTAAGAGGTTCATCATCACTGTCCTAAATTCTTGATGTCTCAGCTTGACATGCTAGGCCAATATGAGATCTGCCTTTTTTGTTTTTGTTTTTGTGGTACCAGGGATAGAACTCCGGTCCTTGAGCTTTTGAGGCAGGCCACCAAACGGCTGAGCTAAATAAATCCCTGGCCCTAAGATCTGCTTTTAATAGTACTTGGAGTTGGGTGTGACTGGTGCATGCCTGTAATCCCAGTGCTTAGGAAGCTGAGGCAGAAGGATGGCTGTGAATTTCTGGCAGGCATGGGCTACAGAGTGCATTCAAGGCCAACCTGAACTAATATATACATATATATATAAATAAAATGGTCTTTTTTTTGGTACCCGGGATCAAACTCGGGCCCTTGCTCTTACAAGGCAGGCGGTGGAACCACTGAGTCAAATACCCGGCCCAAGCTTGAACTGTATTGTGAGACCCTGTCTCAAAAAACAAAGCAAACAAAAAAACTTCTTGGAGGTTCTGAAAACATCAAAAGGAGTTAGGTACAGCAGTATACATCTATAATCAGCACTCTGGGAGGTTGAGACAGAAAGAGCGCAAATTCCAGCTCTGCCTGGGAAAATTAGTGAGACTCTGTCTCAAAAGTGGGGGGCAGGGGCGTACCTCAGTGTGAGGTACAATCCCCAGTTCTACAAAAATAAATACATAGGGGCTGGGAGTTTAGCTCAGTGGCAGTGGGCCTGCCTTGCAAGTGCAAGGTCCTGAGTTTGATCCCTGGTACTGAAAAAACAAAACAAAACAAAACAAAAAAACACACAACAAAAATAAATAAATAAATAAATAAATACCCAACACCAAACATCATCTGAATGGCAGAAAGCATCTCTCTAATTTTGTCCCTCATAAATGGTTATTCCAGAGGTCTTTGGAAAAGGGGAAGAACACAAACAGGAGGAATTGAAGACAAAGAAATAGAATACAGAAAGATGAAATCTCTTAAATTATGTTTACATTTTATTCTGACATGATAGTAACACTGAGAACCAGAAGGCTACTCACCCTCACTGCTTGCTGGGTTTTCTCAGACAATTTTACTTCATTATCTTCTACCTGTGTCCAACAAAATTCGGATGTTCAGTTTAACACTTCAAGGGCAAAATCCAACTGGGTCTCAAAACTGTGTTCAGACACTTTCGGGAGACTGAGCAGCCCCCACGTGCCCAGTGGGCTCAGGCCCCGACAAGCTGGCAGAGGCAGCTGTTGGTCACAGGCTCAAAGCCTTACGCCACAGTAGGTTCTCTTGCTGGGACCTACGGTCCTGCCAATGAGCTTATGGCAGGTGGAGAGGGCATGGTAATCTCCACTTACATGTCACTCCACAGGAAAATAGCTATTTTTTTAGGGATGAAAGAATGAGAATATTCTAAAATATCTTTCACCCAGGGATGTAGTTCAGTTTCTCAGTTTCGCCACACCAGCCTGGCAAGTGCAAGGTCCTGAGTTTAATCCCCAGTACCCAAAATATACAAACAAAATCTTTCAGCTGGGTGTGGTGTACATGCCTGTAATCTCAGCCTCTCAGGAGCCTGAGGCAGAACTGCTGTGAATTCAAGCCCACCTGAGTTACATAGTGAGATCCTGTCTCAAAAAAAACAAAAACAAAAACAAAAAAATTTCAGTGTGCTCTCATTTAAACATACTTCATGTGAAAGGATGACTCTTTGTTCTCCCCAGCCACATCCAAACTATAGAAACAGAATATAAACAGGTTCTAAAATAGGTACTTAGACCATTAGCAGACTGACTGCTATAATATGTACATTTGGCTTCTCAGCTTAAAAAAATTAATTTATTTTTATTATACATGTTTACAGTACATAATGATTACACTCATTGTGGGAAGTTCAGCCAGGTGTGGAAGTACACACCTGTAGTCCCAGCACTTGGGAGGCTGACACAGGAGGATCACCATGAGTTTGAGGCCAGCCTAGGTTACATAGTGAGTTCAAGGCCAGCCTGAACTGCATAGTGGGACCTGTCTCCCCTATTCCCCCAAAGAAAGAAAGCACATACATGTACATGTACATAACACCTCTTAATTCTTTTTGCTTCCTCCCCTTATTATCAACCTCTAAGCCTCAGTCTCCTCATCTGTAATAGGAGGGTGTTAATTTCTTACTTGCACAATTTAACAGGGACTCACTGAGGTAATTTAGCTCCTTTCTTTTGAAACTTTTCTAAATCTATGAGAAAGTTAAAGAAACAAGATTCATTCATATGAAGAGAAAAGGCCAAGATAAAATTTCCATTCCCAAATTAACAGCTAACTCAAGATCTACAACTCCCCCCTCATGCCCCCGAAAGCCAATGAAGAGGTTCTTCCTCAAATGTCTTCCCCATGTTCTCCAGTTTGGGCCCCCCTTCCCCTGTAAAGGATACTGACCAGCCAGGAGCAGAATCTGGGGATGGCGGCTGTCAGGACTATGCAGCTGGTCTCTGTGGTAACAGTGCCATCTGTAGGAAGACCATAGACATGCTAGTTACTCCCCACCACCTCAGCCTGCCTTGCAGGCCACCCACACAGAAAGTGTCCTCCCTTCCCCTTTTCAGGAGCATGGGCTCTTCTTATTAGTATAAAGAGCCTGATACCCTGAGAAAATGAGAACTTACTCATCTCAGGACAGAGAGATTAATGAGTGAATGGAGAAATATTTCCTCTTGTGATTAAGATGAGTATTTTTCAGACAAATAAAACACACATTTAAATGAAAAACACACATTTAAATGAAAAGTCCTATGGGTGGGCCAGGGATTTAGCTCAGTGGTTCTGCCACCTGCCTCGCAAGCACAAGGTCCCAAGTTTGAGCCCCATACCAAAAAAAAAAAAAAAAAAAAAAAACCCCAGTGGTAAAAGTATTTTCCTACCATGAACCCATGGGTTCAATCCCCAGAATCATAAATGAAAAGTCCTATGAATTAGTCCTTTTATCTTTAATTTTTATCAAGGCAGTACAGGCACTAGAGGTACGCCTATTAAAACCAAACAGACTATTATCAGGATCATCTTAGCAGCATTGAATGTTATCATTGTATAACTTTTTTTTCTTAACTATTTTTCAGACAGGGTCTTGCTATATACTTGGGCTGACCTTGAACTCACTATGTAGCCTAGGCTGGCCTTGAACTTTCAGTCATCCTCCTATTTCAACCTTCCAAGTGCTAGGACTGCAGGTGTGTGCTACCACACTAGGCTCTGTAACAATTTTTTTTTTTTTTGGTACTGGAATCGAACTCAGGACCTTGCACTTGCCAGGCAGGTGCTGGAACCACTGAGCTAAATCCCTGGTCCAGTACTTTTTATTTTTTGAGACAGGGTCTCCCTATGTAGTTGAGTCTGGCCTGGAACTCACTATGTAGACCAGGCTGGTCTCAAACTCACAGCGATCCTCCTGCCTCAGCCTCCCCAGTGCTGGGATTACAGGCGTGCGCTGAGACCAGCCTGGGCTACACAGTGAGTTCCAGATCAGTTTCAACTACATAGAGACCCTGTCTCAAAAAACAAACAAACAGATTAGGAAACTACTGAGGGAGAGACATTTATAGCATTTTCTGCTAACATAAAACATAAAAACAAAGGGCACCAAATTATTGTTCCAAATTGCTTCCAAACTGATGACTATTGATGCTATACATCTTCATACATACATGAATCTCTTTTCTTAATTTTCTGCCTCTGTAAACAGCCTGTTCATATTTTTTGTCCATTTTACCACTGGACTGCCTATTTTTCTTTTCTTTTCTTCTCCCCAGTACTGGGGATTAAACCTAGAGCCTTGCACATGCTAAGCAAGCTCTACTTTTGAGCTATATCCTTAGCCCTGTGTATCTGTCTGATTGATCTGCAAAAGCTCCTCATAAATTAGAATACCTGCTATTTGTTTATTATAAATATTTGGCTTTAATTTGTTATTAATTTTACCAAAATTAACAAATTAATTTGCAAGATTTGTTTCTCAAAGACATATACTTACCCTTTTCTTTAACCAAGATCTGAGATGTCAAAAATGATTCTGAGAAGACCACAGATCCTAAGCATCCTCTTTCTCCCAGCAAGTCAGGAATATCATACACAGTCATACAAGCCTGTATCAAGTGAGAAAGAGAGTCAAACCAATTGCCAGCCCAAAACCTTCAGGCAGAGATCCACTGGAAGGAGACCACAAAATGCTGCTTTAAAGCAAATGGCAAGAGAATACTGGAGAATTTCTAAGGAAAACTGGCAATACTCTGATATATACTCCTGAAGTGGGAGGTGGCTTCAGGAACAGCCAGGCATCCCTTGTAATTGTTCCTGGAGCAGAGACACAATAGGATGGAAGAGTACCTTTATGTTTCCATAAGTTCTCTCAAATTATTATTTCCACTAAGAGGCAACTCAGCCTTCATTCTTAACTATGACTGGATCACAGCCCATTAGAGCTGAGGTGTTTCTTCTAGGCTGATACACATACCCCCCACACTCCACTCCCATTACCATAGTCTCACCAGTTCCTTCGGTTTAGGCCTGAATTCTGAACAAGTTTGGAAACTTAGTCATTCACTTAGCACACATGTTTTCACGGATATTTTGAGCACATGTCAATACTTGCACATGCTCCTCTGTGACTGGTAATACTGATATGTCAACTTTATTGGATCAAAAAACACCCAGCAGATTAGTAAAGCACATTGCTGGCTGTGATCTGGGTAGGTCATGAGGTGTGACTGTGAACACTATATATGGGTCCTTGAACATTTTTCTCTGGGACTGTATCCATGCTCTGCTTCCCAGCTGCCATGAACTAACTAGCTTTGCTCCACCAAACCCTTCCACCAGGATGTTTCTGTCTTGGAGCCTGCTGATCATGTACTATATCTCTTAAAACTGTGAGATAAATTGGTAAATTAAACCTTTCCACTTTTAAGCTGTGGGTGTTGGGTATTTTTGTGTCCAGCAAAAGGAACACTGACTAGTATAGAAAACTAGTATGTAGTAGCTGGGCACGGTAAAAAAATCCCAGCACTCATAAAGCTGAGCAAGAGGCTCACTGTAAATTCAAGGCCAGTCTGGGCTATGTAGTGAGTTCAGGGACAGCCCAAACTGTACAGTGAGACTGTCTTAAACAAACAAACAACAAAATCCCCAAAAAGAGAAATGGTATGTAGAGTGGAGGTACTTAACCATGTGGTTTAGAAGCTTTAGGAGCTGGTTTGCTGAAGGAGTTTGGAAAGGTTTAGAGATGTGAGCCAGGGAAGCCTCAGAATGTAGTCATCAGAGTCTAGTGAACGATTTTGGTCAGAGTTCAAAAGACCAGAAAGCCAAAGAGAATGCAGAGAGCAAAAGCGATGCTCAGAAGGTTTCAGGTGGGAACAAGGACTCCATTGGCATTTGGACCAGAGGCCATGTATGTTACTTTGACAGGAAATTTGTTTACATTTATCCATGTCCTGAGACCTTGCAAGAGAAAGATTAAAGGGGGTTAACTAATTTATCTGGTGGTGAAAATTTCAAGACAGCTCAACCTTTAGGCTATGGTATGAGTACTGCTGGCTGCTTTTAGTCCGACATAAAAGTGAGAATTGGGGGCAAAAGACCAAGCAGAAAAATGTGAAAAACCTGAATTTTGGCCTAGAAGGAACCATGGATAAAATTGGAGCCAAAGAGAGATTAATGGCATTAAAAAGAAACTGAGGGTTTGCAAGTACAAGGTCCTGAGTTCGATCCCTGGTACAAAAAAAAAAAAGAAAGAAAGAAAAAGAAAAAGACAAATTGAGTATAGGTATAGGAAGAAATACGTTTTAAAGACATCTCAGAAATCAACAAGATCCCAATGACTGCAGGCTCAGGTCTGTTCTCTTTTAGCCTGAGCATTGCTGAAGAGCAGGGTGCAGAGTTCCTCAAGCTAAGTCTATTTTCACTCATTATTGTCCTAGCATGGAGGGGGGCCCTTGTCCCACCCAAGACAGAGATAGAAATTTTGGTGTGCTTAAAGATATTGCTGGATTCTCAAGTTTAAAAAATGAACACACACACAAAAAAATGAAGAGATTAAAAAGGAAAAAATATAGCTAAAGGTGAAGTCCTTCATTTTTCAAGGTGTCATGATAACAGAATGCACACAGAAGTCAAAAGTAGGCTTTTATGCTTCAATCAATTTTCCAATTAGGCTTGACAAGTGCAAAGTTTATCTAAATCTGTCTCAATAGATTTGGAACATCTGAAGTCACAAATCTTCCTAGGGCTACATGGCTCCTCCTAAATGATGTGAGAATTGTACTTCCTTAGTTCCCAGATTAATCAAATAGGTTCCTGAGCTTTCACTTTCATATTTGACCAACAGTATTGAGGAAGAGGAGAGAGGACACCGAAAAGAATACATTCTTTTGTATGAGGCTGAGGAAGGAAGTTTAATCTCAGCCTGGGCAATAAGCAACTCAGTGAGATTCTGTCTTAAAAACAAAAACAATACAATAAAACATGCAGCCTTTGTTGAATACTTGTATTTCCCATCATATGGCCCAGGGGAAAAAAAATTAAATGATGCCTATCATCAGGAAATCTGTAATATATAGCTAAGGAGAGAAGAGCTTATCAAAAAGTCATCATTAACTTGTTTGTATAGAATTACTCCCTAATTTGTACAGCACAAACTGCAAGGCATATAAAAATATAGCACTTATAGGAAGAAATCAATAGGGAAAACCCATGGAAAAGACAGAACTTCACCTCTGTCTGGATAGGAGGGTAGGATTTGGTCAGAAAGCATCAGCTCTGCCTAGGCTTTCTGGTCCCTTGCTCCTTCCTCTCTGGCACTATTCTCCTCTGTTTTCCCACTGTCATGAACTAAGCACTTTGCTCTGCCATACCCTTCTACTATGATGTTTTTGCCTTGAAGCCAGCTGATGGTGAACTGAAGCTTGTGAAACCATGAGCAAAAATAAACCTCTCCTCCTATAAGTTGCAGATGTTAGGTATTTATCTCAGCAACAAGAAAAATGACTAACACATAACTTTTAAAAACTATCCTTGTACTTTTCTTTGTAGATGAAATACCACTGACAGGAACTTTGCTTTTCCACTGGTGAAGGTGATGGGTACGCACTTGTGTAGACTCATCCACAGCTGCCCACTCAGTTCTCCATGACTAAAGTCTGATGAAGTTGAGGCTCAGGCAGTGGTCACAGAACAGACTGAAGGTAAACTTGTGCACACACATACTACAACCAGAATGTGACTGGATATGCACTGCTTGCCATCTCTTCTCACGTATGCAGCAATAAATACAGCACTTGGCTTGTGGCTGCAACTGGCCTAAAACTCTGGTTCCCCTAGGCCATGACATCCTACACCAGGGACCAGTATCAGAGTATGTCCCTAAGCCATTCCACTGGCCCAATAGTGTGGCTGTAGCACATGGATCAGAAAGCTCTGCTCTGACTACCCCACTTCATTGGAACCCAGGTCTTTATTGACTGTTGTTTAATTAATCAGTCTTCTAGGTCCCTTTTATGGGCATCAACACAAGTCTCTATCTTTTTTCTTTCTGGTACTGGGGATTGAACTCAGGACCTTAAATGCTTGGCAGGCAGGCATGACACCACTGAGCTAAATCCCTGGTTTTCTTTTTTTTTTTTAAAGATAGGGTCTTCCTATGTAGTTCAGGCTTGCCTTGAACTCACTATGTAGCCCAGGCTAGATCTGAAATTGCAGCAATCCTCCTGCCTCAGCCTTCTGAGTGCTGGGATTACAGGTGTGTGCCACCATGTCCAACTCACATATGTCTTTGAGTGCAGAGAAACTGAAAACCTGTTGGTCTACTGGGCAAGGTAAACTTATCCTCAGCTCACATTTCCACGCTAGGTCAGTGAAATCTTAGTTACTACTTCATCCCTTTCAGATGCCCCACTACAGCACACTTCTAGACAGCTGGCTCATAACAGCTCTGCTTACCGTTTTCACGAAGGATAAGTTATCTTCACTGTTCAGAGGCACAATTCTACAAGAAGAGATACATTAAAGAATTTTTTTTTAAATTTTATTGAGTTTATTGGTACATTTTAGGGATACAGTACAGTTACATTCATTGTTGGGATCTTGTACCTCTACATGACAAGTCTTGATTCTCATTTTTTCCCCTTACCTCTGCCCTCCCTTCACCCCCTCCTCCCCTCCCCATCTACAAACACTTTATTTTCATCTTTTCATTCTCTCACATTTTTTTCTTTTCCCTTTTTGTTCTTCCCCTACCCATCCCACCTTCCCTACACCTTTAGCTCCTTTCTTCCCATTTCTAAATGTCAGTAATCTTATTAGAATCTTATGCATTGTTGCAGATTATTCACACCAGGGAAACTATTTGGTATTTACACATGTGTGACTTATTTATTTCACTTAGGAGTATATCTTCAATATGTATCCATTTTCCTATGAATGAATCTATTTTCTCGTTCTTTATGACATTAAAGAACTTTTAACTGTACTGAAATTCACAATGTTCTCTTTTTAAAACAACTCATAACTTGAATTTCATTCAGGGATTTAAAAAACACTAGGTTGGCTACATGCAGAATCAGCACATGGGTCCCTGGAGTGAATTACATCTACCGCTGTCCCTGCCCTCAGCCTTGGGAAGGAGATACTCAGGGTACAAGGGTTCAGTTGCCAGCCCAAGCTCAAGTCCAGAGTGGTGCTGTGGCCAGAGGTGGAACTATGAGATGAACTGCAGCAGTAGTTACCAAGCTGCTGCTCTCTTCTCTTTACCCTCCCAACCTTGCCCCATGCCAGGAGGCCCTACAACCACACACTTACCTTCCCTGATTATTCACAGCCTGTATGTGAAAAGCCGTCTTGGAGCTTTAGACCCAAAACAAAACAAAACAAAACACAAGTCAGTCTCTTCTTCAGAAAGAATGCCTACTGCAAACTGGGAGTGGCCTTCTATTACCCAGGGCCTCCTGACCCACAACGTCTATGCACAATGACTTTCCCCCTCTTCACTGCTTTTGTGACAAGCAGCCAAGACTGCTCTGTGTCCAAGCAGAAGCCAAGTCTCTGCTACTCACAGTTAATTACTGCAGAGCTGCAGGCAGAGTCAGGACTTCAGAGCTGGAAATATCCAAAAACCTTTCTGGCTCTTTTAGTAAAAGACAGTTTTAAAATTGTATAAGCTTAATTTCATGTCTTAAAAAACACAGTTTGTAACACTAACTTACTGTGTGCATTCATGGCTCCTTCCCCTTTCAGGAGCAGGTCTGGTAATTTGATGCAGTTTTTTGTTTTATTGTTTTTTGGGGGGGTTGTACCAGGGATCAAACTTAGGTCCTTACACTTGGGAGTCAGGCAGCAGAACCACTGAACTAAATTCCTGGCCCTAATGTGATGCAATTTGAATCCTCAGTGAAATAATTCTTGTAGAGGGTATGAGACTCTAAGTGGAAAACTGGCCCTGGGAGACTCTCCTCCCATTGCTCAGTGTTTTCCCCTTGTGTCTTCCTCCAGTTAGGGCCTAGAGATCAGGCTCAGGCCTAGGAAGCTCTGAGATTGAGAAATGGCCTGGCCAAGAGCCTGAGGAAGAGGAGGAGAAGGATTGTGTCAGAAGACCTCGGTACAATAGCAGCTAAGGTCCACATGCCCAGTGACTTTGCAAGGTGAGGAGTTCAGAAGACTGATGTAAGCCAGACACGGTGGTACACACCTGTGATCCTAGCTACTCAGGAAGCTGAGTAAAAGGATCCATCTGGGCAACTGTTTTAAAAATAGCCAGACTGTTTTAAAAAATAAATAAATAAAAAGGGCTGGAGATGTAGCTTGGTCATGGTAGGCGGCACAGCACCTGCCTAGTAAGTACAAGGCCCTAGGCTCAATTTCCAGTATTGGGGAAAACAAACAAATAAGCAAGCAAGCAAATAAGCAGACCCAGATAGATGCAGAGTTATCTATTTTGCCTACAGTGACACAGCTGGAAAGTGAAGGATCTTTCTCAAATAAATTCTGCCAAGAAAAGACAGTGAAAGGACCAGGTGTGATGGCACGTGCCTATAATCCCAGCACTGAGGGAGGATCACAAGTATGAGTCGTACCTGGGCACCGTAGCAAAACCTGGCCTGAAAATAAAAAATAAAAAGGGCTCCATGGTAGAGTGACCCTGGGTTGGATCTACAGTACTTCAAAATATATGTGAAAGGCAGTACAGGCCTACAGCAGCCTTCTTCTATGTAATCCCTTTCATGACCAGAACAATAAAATCCAGAAAACATAGGAGCAAGGAGACCCAAAACAAGAAGAGATCCCTATACCACAGAGTTCTGGCTCTTTTCTCCACTTTTGCGGAAATGGCACACAATTCTTCCTGTTAGGTCAAATGACTGACTTATTATCAAATGCTCCTTCTCATTACCCAGGGTGTAGATACAAGAAAATGTGAAATGTAGATTGGAGGCACCACAGAACACAATCCAGAAATATTCTTTTTTTTTTTTTTTTTTTTTTTTT